TACAAAGCATGAACATTATAACAATGTGATCTATATATAAAAAGTTAATACAAGATAGAAGAAGACATGAATAGATACTAGTAAATAAGGAGAATATAAACTTGATAATAGGCAAAGTAATTAAAAAAAGAAAGAAAGATGTACTTATAAGTCACTGGAACATACTTAAAACTGAAGATCGAAATTATTCAGTACTAGTTGAATATAAAAAATGCAATTTGAATAATAAAAAGGATGCAAGTAACTGCTAGCATTGGGTCAAGAAAAAAGAAATAGCAGGCATGCTGCCAGGAATCAGACAAGAGAACAACCAGAAGATCCCAGTTTTGTTAGAAGAATTAAGTGAATATAAAGAGAGTTATACAGAGAATAGAAATAATAGTAGAGAAAAAGTTGTAGATAAGAAAATAAAAGTACACATACATGAGACTAGTCTGCTAAAGATGCAAGGTTTTGATAATAATCTAGAAATATTGTTATTAAAGCAATTAGAGGAAAACATGAAAGTAAATTATACATATTACAGTTTTTATACAGACAGGCCACTAGTAAAAGAGAAAAATGAGTGCAAAATGGATGCAAGTTGGGTTTAGGTTAGTAAAGATGAGAGCAGACTATTAATAGAAGAGAAAATTAGAATAGCAAAATAGCCATCATTGACAAAGACTGAGTTAGCAGCAGTGTGGATAGTGGTATTAGTTATAGCATGTAATAGTAAGGTAGTTATTAAATTAGATAGTACAATAGCAATTGCAAGTCTGAAAAGTGAGAAACTACTATATAATATTAGAGTGTGAAGTAAAAGTAAGAACTTTAGATTAGTTACAAAGATTAAAAATATATGTAAGTTGAAGAATATTAAGCTATTATTAGTTAAAGTCAAAGCACATAGTGGAATATTATAGAATGAAAGAGTGAATAAGCTTGTGAAAGAAGGTGCATAGCAGATTAAAATTACAGATTTGAAGTTTAAGAAAAACTTGAGATTTTCATATGCATTATTTTAGAAAGAAACAGTAGTAGAGATACCAATAAGAAAATTTGTTAAGACATTAATGAACATGATGAATAGTGCTAAGTGACATTGCTCAAGTGCAACAAAAAAGCTAGAACCAGGTGCAGAAACACAATGTAATTAGAAACAGTTGTGGAAAGAAAATAGAAAGTTAACAGGAAACAAGTGTAAATTATTAGAGGAAAGCAAGAGAATTTCATTTAGAATTAAGTGCATTACTGATAGTTTGTTAGTGCTTAAGATGTTAAAGAAGAGAGCACCAGACTTGTATGATTTAGACTTATGTAAAGAATATAAAACAGAAGAAGAATTATCAAGACATTTGTTCATTTGTAAGAAATATGAGGGTTATTGAAATAATATCAAAGAGTTAGCATGTTGGTTAGTATGGAAAAAGTTTGACAAGTTAAACAAGTGTAAGCTTAAAAGACATAACTTGAAAGAATATTAGTTGGTGAAACAGAAGTAGATAGAATTAAATATAAGAAGACATGCATACATAGTTTAGCAGTTAAGAGTATGTTTAAGGAGTTGTATGCTAAACAGGTTTTATATAAAGCTATAAAGCAGAGTATCAAATTATATATTAAGATTGTAGAAGAGATATTCAAAAAAAAAATTTGGTAGTAAAGATGTAAAACAGTAATTGAATAGGGGAAAAAAAATGAAATAACAATGAAATTAAAATGAAGAAGAGACAAGATGGTTGAAAATAGCAAATGCAGTATAAAGAAAGTAAAAAATAAAGAAACATTAGTAAATAAGGTTAGAGGAGAGAAATACAAAGAAAGGGAGATAAAACAGAAGCAGTTGTTTATAAAAGGTGTGGATGAAATAATACAGAATGAAAATAGTCTATTCTGGTTCAATTCTTGACAGAGCTGATACAGTTACCCAATCTAGGAATAGGTTGGTGTAACAAGTCATATTTAAGTGCAGTCTCTGTACTTGGATAATGCTAGACTTGCAATTGCAAAGGTGGATTACTAGAAATAGATAATGTTTCAATTAGTAAAAATTTTGTATTAAAGCTTCGACAAGGTTGTCAAAGAATAAAAAAAAAAAAAAAGTAATATATTTTATAGTTATTATATAAAATGTTTTTTGCAACTAATTATATATAAAAATGATTTACATTGTACTCTACCCTTAAGATACTTATAATAATAGTTATATTAGTATAAATAACAAGTTATGAAGCATCTGTATAAGTATGACATTATATAGAAGAATGCAAATTAATATTGAACAATATAAATTTTAAGTAAGTTTTTGTAATTATGTAAATCTATTAAAATTAAAAAACAAGAAGTCTATTTGAAAAAACCCAAATAGAAAAATAATACAAATTTTTAACAATATTACTGTAAAGACTAAATCTAAAAAATGAATATTAAAATTATAATACCTAGATAATAAGAATCTTTGAATTAAAAATCTTATAAATACTACCAATCAGACTATTAAAATAAACTAATAGAAAAAAAGAATATTAGACTAATTTAATATACTAATAAATTAATCATAATCTTATACAGACTATCTGAATTAAGAGTCTGATAAAAAAATAGAGATATACTAAAATACAAGAGATATGCTATAAAGTAAATGCTTTTTTTTTTTTTTAAATATTAAGATGAGTACTTGTGACCTAGAATTTTATTGATAGTACATTCAGCTAATGGTTGCATTACAACTACAGGAGGCAATCATAGAAAGAGTGTACAACTAGCCACTCATACAACTTTAGTCATTGTCTAATTTAAGTAGTCTGCCCAAAGGTTCTATACTAGTTGTCATACCTGAAACTTACTTGTAAGTTCCTTATTTAACCACCCTGTTCCTGTATCTATCCATCTACCTACACCTACCAAGATGCCCCAGTCGATACTGGTACAAATATGCTATGGTCACTAAGTCTTTAAAGCAGTTTACTTACATAGGGAACCTTTGACCTTGTACTAAACCTTTCAGAATCTTCTGTATTCCATTCTTATAACTAATCTAATATTGCTATGGTCGAGACCAATACTAGCAGTCAGGACGTATCATTTAACCACTATGTCTTTGTAGAGTTCACTCCAACTCCAATACTAACTTCACAACATATCTCTACTACTTTGGTATTCAATTCAAGTTCCACCAAGTTTCCAAACCAGATAGCCCGAAAGGCAGATTGTAACCATACACCTTAGGTTTACATGTTTGCCAACATGTAATTTTTTTTTTCTAGAACTCAGAAATTTTGATGGCCTGATTGGTTCCATTCGGCCCCTCCTCAAAGGCCGGCTCTTTGTCTGGTTTCACAAGTTCTAGTTCCATTTCATAGGTCTAGTTTTTAAAATAGCACTGTCGAAAGTTTGGATTATCTCTCTACTTAGGTCTTCCAAGTAGGCTTCTGTTCTCCTATCTGGTTTCTATGATTTATATGGCCTAAGGACTTATCTTGGGTTCACATCATCTGGTACTGGTTTGTGTTCCTTTGTACAACATTGCATGAATGCCTAGACCTTTCAGTCAGGCTGGTATGACATGGGTTACAGATATCCTATCCTAACCAATCACAAAAGACAGTTAACCATAATACAAAAAAAATTGCAAATTTTTACTGTTACTAAAATTTGAACTCTAGACCTGCCACTTGGGGGTTAACAATCTATCCACTTCACTAGGTTACCACACCCCTTGTAAAGTAAATGCTAAGGTTCAAATAAACTACAAAAACATAGTAGTTAAATAATAATAATATAACTCTAATTGTAAGTGTTAGTTTTACTATAATGATACTAAGTTAACTATAAAAATGAGTACAAAAAACTTTGAGGTTTATCTTATGAATAAAATAATCTTAAAATTAAGACAATGACCTAAGCTTAACTGTGTAATGTTATATAGATACAGGTTCAAAAGATTTAAAGTAAAATATCTAAGCAGAGATGTTAAATACAGCAATTAGTAAAGTACTTTCAGGTGAACTTCTTTAATAGATAATATAAAAAAGTTATATATATAAGCAATTGTACACTCTTCCTGTAGTGGTTTATAGAATCACATTACCAAAAAAATCATTAATAAAAGTCAAAGTCACCTTAACATCAAAAAAAAAAAAATTTTTTTTGGATAAATTTTATTTTATTTACATTTATTATTAATTAAAAAATACATTTTTTTGCTTTAACATTTAATAGAACAATCTAATTAATAAAATTGTATTAAAATTCAATTATTTTCGAAAAATGTATCGGACGTTACTTTTGTTGACCATTATGTAAATGTGTACGTAACATTGTATATTACGTATATTACATTTACTATACTATATGTGTTACTATTTGATTGGACGATATTCACGTGATGTGACCGGACATCAGAATAATATAGCGTCCTTCGCTTGATTGGAAAATTAGGTGATCAACATCAGACATAGTGATTATCAATTCGCGTAGACGAATTATGAATCTCCTCGTAACTCATTTGTTAATTGCAATAATTATATATTAAATGTGATACGTACGTATTGGTATGAAGCTAGTTTTTTTTTTAGATTAATATTATTCATCAACTTTGATCGATAGTGTTCGAAAGCTCGATTGATTGAATTAATTAAAGAAAAACGATTAACGGTATAAATATATTCTGAAATGATTGCACTTGTTTTTCAAGCATTTGTTACGATACTGGGAGAGCTTAGTTACTTATTTTTACTAACATTAACAAAGGAAAGAAATATAGTAATAAATTCTATTACACTACGGAAATAATAAAGACAAATAATATTATTATAAGTTATTTGAATTTTGTAAAAATATTTAATGAATATTCATTTTATTAGTAAAAGTTATTTGCATATTTAAATTTATGGGTCGCACGAATAACTGTGGCGAGTGATGAATGGTGTGAGGCATGACTATTTAACGATCGATCACTCATCGACCGACCATACTCAAAAAACAATTATGATCGGTCACAAATGATCGATCATTCCCTAATTGGTCTCTACTTTGGCCAAGATTTCAGAATCTCTAAAGATGGAATACTCCTAAACACAGTATATAAATAAAATTTGATTATCACAAATCAAACTAATCTTTAAAGACCAAATAACCTCATACCTCATCTTCAACTTTAATGGTACTTCCGCCGTATGATGGAAGGAGAACACGATCTCCAGGCTTTACTTGATTTGGAATATGTTTTCCCTCCTTTCGTATGAACATCATACGCGATAAATATTACGTGTCAACGATTTAATATAATTAATTTCATTTGGTATATTTTTTCTACACTGTGACACTTTATTATTCACATTACCTTACTAAGAGCACCTTTACCTACTGCTATAACTTCTCCTTCATTCAGTGATTCTAGTGATTTTTCAGGAATCAGAATACCAGCAGCAGTTTTCTAATAAATATATCTAAATTTTGAGTTTATTATGAAATTTCATGTATCAAACAATTTATTATAGCTTACTTAGCTTACTTGTTGCGGTTTAATGCGTTGCACGAGTACGCGATCAAGAAGGGGAACAATAGATTTAACATTTTTAACGATAGTATGCTTTTTTTTTAAAAACAAACAAAAAAAAAAATAAAAGAAGTTTCAGCACGTTGTGACTAATAAAGCTCTAATCAAAGAAAAATTAACGCGTGCCATTGTCATTATTTTTTATAAAAATATACTTAAGAACGATCCAGTTAATTAGAGTTTTGTTGGTGGATACGATAAGAATTTTTTAATATGTAGATGAATCAGATCTCTATATGCCTTTTTTTTTTTTTTTTTTTTTTTCACGAATACCAATCACCGATAATCACTGATGAAATATAAGTTTTATTCTGATAATTTTTTTTTTTTTTTTTATCATGGAAAGTAAAAGAAGTTTTTGGAAAGATCAACCAAAAAAAAAAAATTATCGTGGAGACTTTCTACACTTTTCCATCTGAATCATCGTGACTGTTCAGATTAGTGAATGCGTAGAATTCGATGGAAAATCTGAAAAAAATCTTTTTATCACTGGCCAATTAAATTCGAATTTATTTTACCATCTTAAAAATTTTTTATTACCATTTTTTTTTTTTTTAACAGACTACCGAGAATAGTTTTCAATTGACGATATTTTTTATCTGAACATATAATCATCAGTGATCAGTGATGCTGCGCGTTTCAATTAAAAAGTCTCAAACTGCTTATGTTCCAGCATGTCTTACAGTATTATCTAAAAGTTCTCGAACGCCAGTACTATCGCGATATTATTCAACTCATAAAGAACTTAAATTTGGTATTGAAGGACGAGCTTCTCTAGTACAAGGTGTTGACCTTCTTTCAAAGGCGGTCGCGGTTACACTTGGTCCTAAAGGGCGTAACGTGTTGATTGAACAACCTTATGGTAGTCCGAAAATAACAAAGGACGGTGTCACGGTGGCAAAAAGTATAACACTTAAAGATAAGTTTGAAAATCTTGGTGCTAGGTAAATGAAAAAGCTTTATATTAATTATTATATAAAATAATTAACGTGTCAAGTTCAAAAATTCCGCGTTTATCATTTGATATATAATATATAAAACTTTATTAAGCTTATCAATCATTAAAAATATTATTCGTAAAAATGATTTTGTAAATTTACGCGTAATTATTCTTATTATATTAATAGATTGGTTCAAGATGTTGCAAATAAAACAAATGAAGTTGCTGGTGATGGTACAACTACTGCAACGGTTCTTACTCGCGCTATTTTTGTTGAAGGTGTGAAAAATGTTGCTGCAGGTTGTAATCCGATGGATCTTCGTCGTGGTGTTCAATTAGCTGTAGATGCAATTGTTCAATTTTTAAGGGAAAAAAGTCGTGTGATTACTACAAACGAAGAGATCGCCCAGGTATTATTCTCATCTTTATATTAATTTATTATTATTTTTGAGATCAACTTTTTTGATGATTTATAAATTTGTATTTCATAGGTTGCAACAATATCTGCAAATGGTGATACACATGTTGGTAAACTTATTGCTAATGCTATGGAAAAAGTTGGGAAAGAAGGTGTTATCACAGTAAAAGAAGGAAAAACAATTGAAGATGAATTAGAAATAACCGAGGGCATGCGATTTGATCGTGGATACATTTCTCCTTATTTCATAACTGATACTAAAACTCAAAAGGTTGAATTTGAAAAACCTATTATCCTTCTCTCTGAAAAGAAAATTTCTGTATTACAAGATATTCTTCCAAGTTTAGAAGCTGCTGCTCAACAACGTAGACCACTTCTTATTATTTCTGAAGATGTTGATGGTGAAGCTTTGGCTGCTTGTATATTGAATAAACTTCGTGGAAACCTTCAAGTTGTTGCTGTTAAAGCTCCCGGATTTGGTGATAACCGCAAATCTATCTTGGGTGATCTAGCTATTTTGACCGGTGGTACTGTTTTCTCTGATGACTTGGATATAAAATTGGAGCGTGCATCACCAGAACACTATGGTTCTACAGGTTCTGTCACTATTACTAAAGAGGATACCATTCTTCTTAATGGTGAAGGTTCTAAAGAAAGTATTAATCAACGTTGTGATCAAATTCGTGCCGCTATTAATGATCCTACTGTTTCTGATTACGAAAAAGAAAAGTTACAAGAAAGACTTGCAAAATTATCGGGTGGGGTTGCTGTTATTCGTGTAGGTGGTTCTTCTGAAGTTGAAGTCAATGAAAAAAAAGATCGATTTGTTGATGCTTTAAATGCCACACGTGCAGCTGTTGAGGAAGGAATTGTACCTGGTGGTGGTGTAGCATTATTGAAATCTATTAAATGTTTAGAGTCCTTAAAACCCACGAATTTTGATCAACAATTGGGTGTAAATATCATAAAGACTGCTCTTCAAAAACCTGCAAAAACTATTGTTGACAATGCCGGTGAGGAAGGTTCCGTGGTTGTAGGTAAACTAATAGACGATCATGGAGATAATTTCAACTTTGGTTATGATTCTGCCGCTAGTCAATATGGCGATATGATTGCACGTGGTATTGTGGATCCATTAAAAGTTGTAAGAACTGCTCTTGTTGATGCCTCTGGTGTTGCAAGTTTACTAACAACAACAGAATGCATGATTACTGATGCACCTGGTTTGTAAAATTTTTTTTTTAATTCTAACTTTTTATTTGTAACGAGTCTAATCCATAATTTATTTGATTTGTAGATGAAAACAAAGGTGCTAGTGCTGGTGCTGGTGGCATGGGAGGGATGGGAGGAATGGGAATGATGTGATAGATAAAAAAAAAAAAAATTCAGTTTAACATGTAAAATAAAACATAAATACATTTCATATTAAAAAAAAACTCATTCTTTGACTTTAATTAAAGGAAAAGAAAAAAAATGGTATTTCAATATTTTTTTAAAAAAATTTTATTTGAAATAAATAAATTTAAATTTAACAGTAAATAGATCTATAAATGACATAAGAAAATTGGTAAAAATCGTTTATTGCAAAGTTTAATGATAATATAAATTAGTTTAAAGGTAGATTAAAACCAAATTTTCATCATAATATACAAAAATAAACAAATGAATCGAATAGTTACAAATTATTTTTCTAGATAAAAAAATATAGATTGATAAATAGGTTTATCTAGATTTTCGTATTATACAGTTACTATCACTAATAATACTAAATGAAAATATGTCTACGATCACTTAGTCCCAACCTGAAAGTAAAAATGTAAAAAAATTTTTTAACCCTTCGGTTTCGAAATAGTAGTATCGTATACCCTGATAAGACGTGCTTCTTGACCGGATTCGTTTTGAGAAAATGCAAAACCACGACTTTTTCGTAAACGTTGTACTGCACGGACTTTTCGTATCGCTTTTTGGAATTGTTCCGCACGTGGACGATAATCGGGTATATTGAATTTTTGAATTTCTTGTATAGTATGATATGTTCTTGAACGGTACATGCGTTTTACACTAAAATTAACAAATAAATATTAGTAATTAAATATCATCATATATAAGATATATTATTATCTATGAAAAAAATAAATATGTTAATAATAAACTTACTATTTCCACACGTAATCTCGCAATAAACATATAACTGGAACCAACAAGACGAATAGATAAAATATGGGACTTGTGAATAATTTAGGAATAATGCCATCATATTCTTCCGAGATTCTAAATCTTGGTGCAATCATGCCATAAACAAAAATAAAGACCATCCAAAAAACAAATGATCCAGGAATAGCAATATATGTATATTTCGTCCATAAGCTATGTACATAAATCAGCAAATTAATAAATTAATAATTAATAAATGTTAATAAATATTAATAAATACTAATAAATATTAATAGAATGATTTACATACTCCGTTATTAATGCAGCTTTCCCTAAAACGGTTGCTAAAACTGCCGTGTACAGTGCCGTACCCCAAAACCAGTGACCTGCCACTTGCCCATTTGTTAAAACCAAGTCATTATAAAAAACGTATATTGATACCCAATACAAGATCTATAAATAACATAACATTAGTTTCAAAATTAAGAGGCAAAAAATGAAATAAAATAACGTTTACACAAATCTTACTAGTGAATGAAAAAAGGCATTGAGCGCCCATCCCCAGAAATTTTTGACATTAAACTATAAAAAAATCATATAAAGATCAGCATAAAGATCAACAAAAAAGGAACACAAATAAATTATGTTGATATACAAAAATTACTCACGAATTCACTCTTTTGTCCTAGTGAGTATAATTGAGGATACCGATCCAACATTCTTGCACTTACGAATTGATCAAACACACCCATAACTATCGGTGGTAATACAGTGAATAGAACATTGTAATATGTGATAGTCCAGGACTCGTATATTACTTGACCAGAAAACCCATTATGGAATGCGTACTTTTAAACATAATAATTTAAATATGAATTTATATAATTAATATATAATTTAAAATATATAAATTTTAAAAATATAATTTAAAAATATAATTTAAAAATATATTTTAAAAATATATTTTAAATTATATAATATAATTAAATATATAATTAAATATATAATTTAAAATAATGTTAAAATATCAAACATATATTTAGACGACTTACCCAAAATTGAGTCATATATAATGTTATATTTTTATAGAATGAATATAAAATCAATTTACTTAATCGTTGATAACTCCATGCACCATGAACTAAAAGTAATTTTTTTAAATATCTAAATTGACTGATTGATACATCTGCACTACGAGCAGCTTGCATTCCTTCAAGACCACTAATTCCAACACCAACATGAGCTGCTTGAATCATTGGAACGTCATTTGCACCATCACCAATAGCCAAAAGAATAGCTTTAAGGTGACGCTTTACTAATTTTACAACAAGTGCTTTTTGAAGTGGTGATACTCTGCAACAAATAACTGCTTTGCACATAGTTGCAAGCTCGAGGAAAACCCCCTCAATTTCCTTGTCAAGAGCAAATTCAAGTGTTCGACCGTCTATAACAAGAGCAAGAGGCTATATTTACGTTATTTACGTAATTAAAATGATTAAAAAAAAAAAAAAGAAATCAAGGTTTATTGATTATAAACTTACTTCAACCTCTGGATTAACTCGACCTTTAAGTGATTGAATTCTTTTCTCTAAAAATTCTTTTGTCTTCCAATGACTTTCTTCATTCACAACGATTAAAGTCATTTCCTCATTAATTAATTTGCAACTAAGTCCAATATTTATAGCAGTTTCTTGTCTATCACCAGTAAGGACCCAAATTTTAATACCAGCTTGTTGAAGTGTATGAATTGTTTCCGGAACACCATCTTGTAATTTATCCTCAATTGCAGTAGCACCCAAAAGAAATAGATTTTTTTCAATCATTTCAGCAGCTTTATCAAGTTCATCTTGACGATTTACCAAAGTTGTAGATGCTTTTTCATATATAATAGACCATTGTCTATATTCCTCATCAGAAACTTCACGCATTGCGATACAAAGAGTTCTGAGACCTTCAGTTGCATAATCTTCAAGATGTTGTAATGTTTGTTCAACAAATGGATTATCATCACTTAAACGTTCCAAAATTACAGTATCAGCTCCTTTACAATATAATTTTATTTTTCCATCTGGACCACGGACAATTGTAGACATACGTTTACGTGTACTATTGAATTCACAAATACTAAGAACTTCGTATTCGTAATCAATACCATTAACTCGTATATTTACAGATTTTGGACGACGAGTCTATTAGAATAAATAAACTAATTTATAAACCTACTTAAAAAAAAAAAAATTTTTTTTTTTTTTTTTGTTTAAAGATTATATATAATAAATAATTTGTAAATTACCGTGAATACATAATCCAGAGTCATAGCACCTTTAACAAGAGCACTTTCATCTGGAGATGAAGCCTGATACTCAATATCTTTTTTTAAAAAAAAAATTTAAAAAAATATTAAATTATGAAATATATTGAAATGTAAATAATACAATAATACTTAAATATATATATCAAAAAAGCTTACTGTTAGGATTATCATCCTTACGCTCAGGAATAACAGTATGACATATAGCTAAGAGTGACAAGAATTCATTGATTACATTTCCAGTTGGATGATTCCTTATATTTTCTTTTAATTGTTTAAAATCATGAAATCCGACTTCAGCACCATCAACCTCACGGGCACGTTTGGACTCTTCAACTTTCTCAGCATACGCTAATCCAGCTATACTACATTGTTTAAATTCCATTTCATTACAAGTAAGAGTACCAGTTTTATCAGAAAAAATATATTCAATCTTTTAAAAAAATATATATAAAGGGAAATAAATAAACAGATTTAAGATTTTTCGATTATTTAATCAAACATACACGTTACCTGACCCAATTCCTCAACCAAACTGCTAGTTCTACACAAAGCAGGGGTATCAGTCTTTTCATAATACATATCTAAATCGTCATTAATTAATAGAGCTTGTTGAAATTTGACGACTTCCATTGTGACAATCAAACTATATTAGAAAAGGCAGGAAATTAGAAATCTAATTGTAATTAGTAAATTAAATATTGATATATATATATATAATTACCTGATAGGAATTAAATTATTAAACAAAATTATAAACGTCAAAATATTAAAAAGAAATTGGAGGAGAATATTATTATTATTTGTAGGGAATGGTATGTATGCCATTTCGCCGCCATATCTCAACTAGATTAACAAAATGATATATATGTTGTAAATTTAAGTTAAAATAAAAAAAAAGGATTAAATAAGAAAAATTTCATAAAATATATAAAATATATAAAACATATAAAATAGATTATATAAGGTTTCATACTTACAGTCCTTACAGCACTTCCTATTGAACATGCTAAACTCATTACCAAAAGAATACCAAATAAGAAAATAATTTGGATATTGACCATTTTTTCTACACAAGTTCTTTTAATAGGAGTTGCTCTAAATAGATAAATAAAAACAAATAAATCAGGTATAAAATGAATTAATATAATTTAAAATAAATAAGTTAATAATACAAACGTGGCATTTTTCATAAGTTTTGTCTCGTGGCCTGTAAAAACAACAATACCATAAATCCATGATGTATTTCTCAATTGTGCACCCTATAATTAATAAATTAAGTAAAATTGATATTATATTGGCATTATATAAAAGAGAACCGGAAAATATATAATTGTGAGTGATATAGGGATACACACCCTAAGAAGTAATTGTGTTGGATCTAAAGGAACTTGTTTTTGACCATGTGGAGTCTCCATCACAAGTAAGCCATCATACGTGTATAAACTATCATTGGGTTTTTCAGATTTGATATATCCTCTCAAACGACTAGTTTCTGATGGAGAAATTAAGTGTGATGTATCGCTTGTAGCTTGTTTGATTTTTAGATTTGTTTCTCTAAAATAAGATTCAAGGAGTTTTTTTGTTTTTTTGCATAAAAAGTAATATTTAAAGTTAATATTTAAAGTTAATATTTAAAGTAATATTTAATATTTATAAGGAATATTATAAGGAATAATAATTGTATAAAAAAATTATCGGAATAAATGATAATTTAGATATTTTTAATTTGAATTGCATAAATAATGAATAATATTTAGTTATAAATATATTAAGTAAACTAACCCGTCCAAGTTACTTGTCTCTATATAGCATAGCCCTTCAGGTTCAGAACTACTAAGTAATATTAAATCCGCAGGAAAAAATTCACCACTTTCAACACGAACAATATCACCAACAGTTACTTGATTCCATTCCTTTTCTACATATGTTTCTCCTGTAAGTTCAAAATATTTACATTTTCTTTGATTTACTTCTGAATCAGAACGATGCCGTTTCTTAACAAACAAAAAAAAAAAAAAAAATCAGCGGGGCGACCCTTTTTTTTCAAAAAAAAATAATAATAAAAACCCACCACTTACATAATCTTCCAAGATTTCTTTACATGCAGTAGCAGTCAATACGACCATTAAAGTACCAAGTGTAGTGTATTGGTTTGTTGGTGATACATCTTTAATTTGCTATTAACAAAAAAAAAATAAATATATTTTTTTTAGATATAAGTAAATATATATATATTCGAAATATCTAGTTATTATCGTCGACACATTAATAAATAAAAAATAATCATAAGAATAAGCAAAAAATAATAATAGTCTAATTAATTTCTACTAAAACTTTCCGTAGGGAGGAATCGAATAATTCAATATTCAATATTCAATCAAATCCAGCCCAATGAAATAGTTCAGTGAATTTAGCCCATTGAATTATGATTAAAATATTTTTACTATACCTGAATACAAGCTAAAAAATAGATTTTTTTTTTTTTTTTTTTTTTTTTTTACGAAAGAAAAGAAATTGGTGAATTCATGACAAATTTTATTAAATAGTTCAAACATTTAATTACTAATAATTATTAATTACCAGTGAATAAGAAAAACATATTTGCATATTTTGAAAATTGTTCGTATAAAAATTTTGGTAAAAATGTGAAAACATTATATTTAGTTGTTGAAATTCTATTATGCAGAAATTTTTGAGAGTTATTGGTCGGGTTATTAATATGTATTGTTCGGTCACCATTAGAGCTAGGAAGATCAGACGTTTCAGTTTTACTATCTGAAGTAAGAGGAAGATTTGCTTCAGAATAGGACATGTTGGTAATTTGTCGTTGTATAAGCCTCGTGGAGTCGGAATACAAAGGGTCCTGCTCTCCGTAGTCCTCAATATTATCGTTGAAGTTAGGGTCGAAAGAAGTATGGTCGCCCTGAGAAAAAGAAGGTCTAAAAGATGGTATAACAGCAGCTTGCGGAACTGACAAAATGTCAGTATTTTGGGAGGTTTCGACGGTTGCCGAGTCGTCGAAAGGGTCAATAGGATTTGAAGGTTGTTGGCTCAGAGGAAAGTTATTACCAGACATTCTGCGTTTTGCAGAATAAAAAGTCGAGGATTAAGTTTGTAGTGCAGAAAATTCGATTATGTCACAACATTATGATCGAATTAGAAGAGACATAAACATGTTTCATAATATTACGAGTCAGTCACTTGAATATTAAATTGGATAAGGAAATAATAGCCAATAGTGATACATACGGATTGACTATGAAAAGAAATCAACCAAGCCACTTTATCAGTCTTGTTATAACATGTAAGACTAAATATAAATAGAATGTACAATGTTACCCATTGTGTATCGGTTCTAAACAGAAGTACTGAAGTAGATGTTGACGAAACGTGTAAGTCTTTTCATATAATTAATTAATTTTTAATAGTTTTTTTAACGTTAACGTTAATATAAATGGCAATTTATTTACATTATTATCGTATTATCGTTATTATCCCAAGTTAGGGTACGTCAATTATACGTACCTCTTTAGTAAAGCTAATTGATATATTTTTTTTATTAACATTAATATTTTTATTAATTGACACATACTGTACAGTATATATATTTGCATAATACCAATAACCAATACAACTAATACAACCAATACAACTAATACAACCAATAGAGAGGCAATTAATTAATTTTGCATGGTCTACATAGCATAATAATTAATTATAATAAAGTTTTGTACGTATTTTTTACATGTCATTACTGTTTGGTACTGTATTAATTTTTTTTAATTAATAAAATTATTTTATAAGAGGTAAATCGCGGTTAAGGATATAAAAAAAAAAATAGCAAATTTAATAGAATAGCTTACAATGAAAAGTTTTCTTATGCCAAGTAAACCTTTCTTGAGTTTCTAACAAAGATTCTAGAACAAGTTATTCCGGTTCTAATAGTGGTAGAATTATTCAAATTATTATAGTTTGGTAGATCGCGAGTTAACTATATAACTTTTAGAAATATGAAAGTAATAGTAATTCTCAACTACGATCTACCAATTATTTATTAATTTCAACATGCACTGTATATATAGCATATACTGTAATGTACAGTACAGACAAATCTTTTTAAATGCACTGATTTTTAAATAAAGTTTTGTTATAAAGTTTATAATTAAAATAAATTTTTGTAATTAGTAATATACAATATAGTATTATACAGTATATGTGCAGTATTTGATTTATAATAGAAAATATTGCAATTATATATAATAATTTTTTTTTTTTACTGATATATATATAATTGCTTTTATATCTAAGTATGATGATCTACTATAAATGGGAAATTTCTTTAAGATTTTAGTAGGTTTACAATATATAAAGTAAATTCTAAAACTTTAATTAATTTTAATTTATTTTAATTTATTTTAATTTATTAAAAAATTCCAAATGCACTTAAATTACTTAAATTTCATTCCCGCTTACAACATATCTCACTTAAACATAACCATATCGATATGGATGTCACAATTTCACGACAGTCATTTCCATCACACAGTGTGATAATTTAGCATTTTGTTATATGCAGTTATTATTTTGTTAGCAGATTTTCACGCGGAGTGATGTCAGTTTAACCATCGGGAAATTGATACGTAGCCTATCAATGCATATGTATAACTTCTTTAATACAGTAAGAGTCCAATCATTTCTTCTTAAAGAAGTAAATAAGTGTACACATAAAAATTGTTTACATAAATTGTTTAATTCTATTTGTTTATCCAAATTATTTTTCTCAAAATATACAAAGGTTATCTTCTGACGTATCACGACGTTTGTTATCGCCTTATTACTATTTCGGCATTACCTTTGTTTAAATTATAAAAAATAATGACTTTTTTTGGATTAATTATTTCCATGTGGGCATTAAACTTTAATCTGAGATCGATGTCAAATTTTTAGTTATCTTTAATATGAGATAAAAAAAATCTAATGTATTTAATATGTATATATTTTTGATATACGAATATAACTTATTTGGTTAGGTTTAATAAATTATATTAAATACATACGTATGATTATCATATCAATATCGATATGTATTACAGTTAAGTACTGTATAAAAGGATTTGACTATCGCTATGATTTTACGTAACATACGTGCGTACATTACTGTATATAATATATTTGATATATACTTGATTGTATACCCTGCAAATCATGATGGCGCATGTGATGGCGAAGTCGAATACGTAGCGATATTAATTGTTTACCTATGCACAAGTGAACACGTTCCAAGTAAAGAAAGAAATACGTACGGATAATGTAATACAATAGTTTTGTGATAAAGTTTATCGTTGAAAATGGAAATGGAAATAGGAGTTAAGGAAGTTTAAAACTTGTTATTGATTTTTACATGTTTAAATCTGGATTTATGAAAGATAAATTCCAGTACTGTAGCATCAACAGATTTTCATATTAATATAGCGATATAGATTGACTAATTACAAAATCGAAAATCGGATGCAAAAAACTGTCAGTAACTCTTTTTTTCTATGTTAAAGTAATAAAAAAATTCCTTGCAAAGCCTTATCGTGATATAGCGTTTATTACTTTAGATAATAGCAGCAGATCATATCCGCTGTTATAATTCATGTCAGTTCATTCCTTGCGCAGAATGGAGCAATATAAAATTTTATCTGAATTAAAAAAAAAAACGAAACAAAAAGCTGGCCGGGTCAGGTCTACTTAAAAGTTTCATGTTATGGAAACCGACATTAAATTTACTAATAGTACCCGAAATTTTTTTTAGGATCATAGTTTCTGTCACATGATATGTACTATTAATTATAAAAGGTATAAAAAAGAACTCGATTATAGACTTTCGCGTTTTTCGCGTTTTTTAACTTTTCACAAAATGACAATTGGAGTTTCAGGTGATATGATGTGAAACCAAGGAAAAACCAGACTTTGGGCTTTCAAGTTTATTATTTGTTATTTACTAGACTAGACTCAGCCATGATCAGAAACATATATGATGCGTAAGTAAATTCGATTATGTGTCATATGTGTCGCCATCAGGGCTAAATCCGGTAAATAATTAACTTTTAATAGTGGAGCCAATGAAGATGTGCTGATTCTCTTGTAGTATGGTATAATTGTTCAGACTAGGAGAAATCAACTATTTACTAATACTCTAAATGTCTGTCAATATTCATGAACTTATCATAATGTCTACATGTGTGCAAGAGGAATCAACCGTTTGCTGGTTCTCCGAATGCTGTTTGGATGCATTACGATGCCTATGTCTGTGTGGGACTAGAACTAGTATATTGGATTGGAGTTAAAATTAATTGAATACATTATGTATTATATTATTTGTACAGCACATTATGTATTATATTATTACTCATTCCATCTTTCTTACACTTATGAAAGTGAACTTAACGAATTGTGGATTGTGGGAAATCAAACATTTACACAAAAGATATTAATTATAAACAAGTATATGAATTTGGTTGGCTCAGAGCAAGTATCAAATGGAACTTTTGACTTACAATCAGAATGTATGATAAAGGTGTTATTCGGTATGTACCATATAAGCACTACCAAAGGAAAATCTAGTTATGTATAAATTTGGTTCACAGCTCTAATTCTAAACCTGACCCTAATGACAATGGCCAGAATTACTTTGTCAATGAATAAAATGTCGATGAAATAGATTATCTGAAGTGAACTTGTCTGTAACTTAATTGTAAGTTCGGTAAATTATAATTTAAAAGCCAAAGTCTGGCTTTCCCTTGACGGCACTCATATATTCAATAGTATATAATTTAGAACATGTACTTCCGTCAACAAAATTGTTAAAATCACTCACCGGTTCAAAAATTATTAAAATCATTCACCAGTTCAAAAAATTGTTAAATTTGACGTTAAAGGCAAGCAATAAATATTTAATAAAATAAGTTCATTTTGACAATAGTCTTTTTATAAGGTATATGTTGTTTAATGATAAGAAAATATGACACATCACCAATAACAAATTACGGTAAAAAAATTCATTGCATAGTAACATATTAAATCTGATTCACTTTGGCTTAAACATCTGAACACTCCCGTAAAAACTGTGATAGATATAAAGGTTTATCTAGTGCTTCGAAAGGGTAGTTTAGGCAAGTTTGAACCCAACCCAGGTAATCTCAGATTATATTTTGACATCTATAAAATGACTTTACAATTAACTAATTTGCTCCGGTTGAAATAAAGGGTCTTGAGTTCAAACCTTTAGGAACACTAGGTTTATCTCAGTCGTTTTTCATAACTCGCCTTCAAAAATACGGCACCACCACATGATCCGAGCAATTTAGGTATTATCGCGAGTATATATTATATTTTTTTCAATTAAAATTTTTTCGAAAAAAAAAGATGATAAACAGTCATCAATAATATTTTAGTGAATACAGTATGGATATTTACTATTTACTATTTACTATATATTTATTTTTCATAATAGATAAAACATTATCGAAGGCCTCACGTGTTTTCTACATGACTTCAAACAAAAGATGTATTAACACATGCGAAGGGTGGTGTGAATCCGGTGATTTTTCCGTAATATTAACTCCGATGAAAGATGTCATAGTTTGTGAATATATTACTTTGTTTGGATAAAATTCAGGGATTTTATGTGATATAGAAATGATCTGCAATAAATTAAAAGACTACGTATCCTAAAATCGTTTCTTGCAAATGTCATATAATCTAAGAATCTTCTGCCCAAATAAATACATAGACATTGATTGGCACAAATTTTGTCTAATAAAATTTTCCAATTGCAGTGAAAAATTCCTGACTGTAGTAAATGGCACAATATTTCTTTGTGAGTTTACTTCCAACAGAATACATTGCAAAAAAAAAAGGGGTATATCGATAATAATTGCGTACGTGTGTATGTACGTAATTCATGTGGTTCAGAATCCAAAATTCAAATCCGGACCTAAACGAGTTTTGCTCGCAGAGAACAATAGTAATGCGAATATAAATTACATAATGATGACATATTTGACTGCTTAATATTCAATTAAGGAAATC